TGAAGCAGTTTGAATTTTGCATGAGTAGCGTTTGAATGCGTGCGAAGGAAAGTGATCAGCCGGGCCGGGCCAGTTCACCGCTAATGAAGTTGGTTCAAAAAAGTTATTGCTTTCGAATAAAAGTAATCGCGAGGAAGACCTTAAATACCAAATCAATTAAATAAATAAAAAAAAGTGGTTTTTAAAAAGACATTGAAATTGATATTAAATGTTATGCAATTGCAAAAGAGACATTTAAACCGATCACATTTTCAAAATTGTTATGCAACAATTAATTGAAAGCCACTCGGAATACGCAGGTTTTGTATTAAAATTTAATTAAAAGTATTAAATATTATTTAACAAAGAAAAAAACTTTTTCGATTTTTAAATTAGTCCATTATATTTTCAAGTCCTCAGTCATCATCATCGATTATTTAATCACACATTTGAAAATTCTCTAACAATTGATAGACGTAACCTCACAAAAAATAATCCAATGATGAAAACCACATGACTTTAGTGAACAATTCTCTTTACCAAAACATGATACCACACCTCATCATCGATTATTTAATCACACATTTGAAAATTCTCTAACAATTGATAGACGTAACCTCACAAAAAATAATCCAATGATGAAAACCACATGACTTTAGTGAACAATTCTCCTTACCAAAACATGATACCACACCTTTGGTAAATTCCATGCACAACATAATCAAAACGACGCATGGTTTTTGGCACTGTCCTGTGGAAACCATATACCATTTACATCCATATTTTGGCACGATTCCGATTTTCGGGACAAGCCTATTTGACAATCTATTTTAATAAAAACAGCTATTTTAAATAACTTATTCCTATGCACTCTATGTCAATATAGCTTTGTTTTCGAGATATAGAGCGTTAAAGTTGAACATTTTTATATTAAAATTATTAACAATAAGAACACACGCCATCTAGCGCATCTTTTTGTTATTTATTGCTTTGGTAATCAATGTTTACAATCAAGTTTTTGTAAGTGGAATCAATGTAACAACTATTAACATCGATATTCTGAAAAGTAAACAATGATATATTCTAAAGAGATCAAAGGTGTAGATCCCCATAAATCCCCAATTTACACAACTATTTAAGGCTTAGAGTGTTGAAACTATCCAGCAAAATACACAACAATCCTAACTATTCTTTAGCTCTGCTTAGAAGAATTTAAACAGATGAAAGAATACTTTTAGATAGTCATGCTGAGATACTTTAAACAAAATGAGGTGCTACAATAAAAATGATATAGATTGTCAGGTTTTCTCAGCAAGGATCAAATATAACTGATGCTAACTGCTACAGAGTTCATTAAATCGCAGTTTACAATTTAATTTTTCTTTTGTTCTCATTAGTTTAAATTTTAGTATCAAATTCAAACTTTTCTGTCTCTTTAACGTTTAGCCTGCGAATACGTTGAAGAACCTATTAGTTCGGGTTTATTACGTATTGGTGAAAGCGTGGAAGAACCTAATGGTTCTGGTGTATTCTGTATTGGTGAATACATGGAAGAACCAATTTGTTCTGGTGTGTTCCGTATTGGTGAATACGTGTAAGAACCTATTGGTTCTGGTGTATTCCATATTGGTGAATACATGGAGGAATGTTACGAATGTACAAGACAATAATCAGACCGGTAGCTGCATATGGCTCAGAAACATGGACAATGACGAAGGCGGACGAAGAAGCTTTAAAAATCAAAATTGATGCAGAAACTTTTCAAAGACAAAGAAATAATGAAATTGAAGAACTGCTTAGAAACGAAATTATAGTGAGATACATTAAGTCGCAAAGGTTCCAATGGGCTGGTCATATAATAAGAATGGGGTCGAAGAGAAATCCGAAAAGCATATTTAACGCAAACCCGATGACAAGCAGGCACAGAGGTAGGCCAACAACAAGATGGGATGAGAACTTGTACGGTGATGCAAGAACGATTGGAATACTAAACTGGAAGTGAAGATAGGGACAGATGGGGGCAGATGGAGGCAGATCGTGAGGGAAGCCAAGGTTTATACTGGACTGTAGTGCCAAATAAGAAGAAGAAGACATCGAGGAATTGGTTTTTTCCGAATTGGTGAATATGTGGAAGAACCTATTGGTTCTGGTGTATTCTGTATTGATGAGTACGTCGAAGTTTATTTGGTTTTACTAATTCTATATTTGTAGGCTTTTTTTAAGTAATTAGCGCGAGTTATAATTTATGAATGTCATAACGAATGTCTTGGTAATCTTCAATTCATAATAAGTCAATATTTGTGGTTTCTTCAGGAAATATTTTGAGATACCTTTTTATGGGTATTAATATGCTAACAGCGCATTTGTTGCAGAATGAGTACGTGCTGCCATAAAAGTTCTGATGTTTTTTTAGTTCGAAAAGTTTTAAAAGAATAAAAATAAGATATTTAACAGCAACAACAATGAAAGCGGTAAAAAATTAACCGCTTTTTTATGCAGTGACAGCGCAGGCGTGCCTCAAATTTCAAGTGATTTTTAAATGAATTCTGTTAAGATACTTAAAATGCGCAGAATTTTATTGAAAGAATGAATTGCAAGCAATTTTTAACTTTTTCAAAAGTCTTGAAACAAAGGAACTCAAATTAAAGATCGTTGACATTTAAGTCTACACAATGTCTTTCGAAAATAACAATTTTCAAACCTAATTTTTGGTTGACGCAATTGTTATAAAAATTACCGAAAAATAGGTGTGCACAAATTAAGTCTTTTTTATTGCATAAAATTAAATAAAAATAACACTCTAAAAAAAAGCTTTATTGGAATTTAAATAATATTGTTTTTCACTCTATTTTTTTCTTTCAGCCGTAAATTAAGGGCCACAAACATGAAAAAGGCCAAACGATGGCTTCTACCGATAGCAGGTGAGTTGCTTTAAAATAAATTAACAATTGTTCAGTTGTTAATTTAGGTATTCAATTGTGTTCAATTGTTCTTAGTTGATTTGAACTTAAGCACAAATTTAAATATATTAGAATATTTATTCTCAATTCTAATTTTTAGTTTCTAAAAATTACGAGTATCTGTCTAATAAATTAGAATTAGACTCTAGAATCTAATGTTAGAATCTAAGATCTTTTGGACTACAAACCCCATTTCAAATTACAAAGGTTTTTGAGGTCAACCTCATAAAATAATTAATTTTCAATCAATGATCAAAACTATTGAATCATATCTTCCCGTGTATACTCTAAACTTCTTTTTAAGGCTTTCAAAACCAATATCAATTTAATCTAAGTTAGGTTAGATTAATCAGTCCGGTCATAAGCCATACATAGATCATTGAAACTCTAGCAACATCAAATGAAGAAAGACCTTTATGTAAATTTGTAGTAGGCATTATGTAGAATGTCGACGACATTAGTTAGGATATTGTTAATCTATGTCATAAGCCATATATAGATCTTTAAGACTCTAACAACATCAAATGAGCAAAGACCTTTGCGTAAAGTAGGTATTTAAGGAGTAATCTTAAATTCAGAACAAACGTCGACCTACTACATAATAACATACATAATACTACAAACCTACTGCTACTACCTACTACTTTTTGTAAAGGCGTTGCTACAGTCTAAAAGATTTATGTATGTCATAAGCTATACATCGATCTTTTAGACTGTAGCAACATCAGATGAAGAAACGCCTTTACATAAACTAATAGACAGTTGCAGTAGTTTTATGTATGATGTCGACACTTGTTGTGAATCTAAAAAGTAATTGAAATTCCTTTTTAGAGACATACAACATCTTCTCAAAGTATATAGCCCTTAACCATTTTAATAAT